GAGGCTGTACACTCTGCTGTCCTTCATGGACACTGTATAATTACACACTCTGTTCTCTGATTGGACTCAGTGAGGAGGATGGAGGGATGAAGAGGAGGAGGAGGAAGAGTCTCTTCTTCCCTAATGATGTCAGATCTCAGTTTGAGCCTCCTCGACCCCCCATTGAGCCTCCTCCTCCTCGTCCTCCCCCCTCTCTGTACTGTAACAAGCAGTCTGCAGGTCAGCCGAGGTTTTTTTCAGATTAAAGTTAAAGTCTTCTTCCTGTGGACGATGTCAGTGACTCACATTTGGAGCCTCTACAGTCCAGTCCCTCTGGAACCAGCAGTAAGCCTTCAGACATGGTACCTAGACCCTAGGTGTGTTCAGACAGTCCTCTTAAATGTGGGCGGGGTTGTTGTCACTCACTGCTCCGTCCAGCACTCGCTGTATTTCCTCATCAGCGGTGACACAGATGGAAGTCTGCACCTGGTTTATCGTCCACAGAACGAGGCTGCACGCCCACATTTTCACAACAAAATAGAACAGGCTGCAGTGAGAGTCTCTCTCCATGGGATATTAAAAAAAAATAGCAGCTTTGTGCATTTAGTCCTTCTCAGGCAGAATGAGCTGGAAAATATCATCCAAAACCTAATATCATACATGGCTGGTACAACTCCATCATTACTTCAATCAGTAGAGACAGAGGAATAAAGTAAAGATAATATTTAATACAGAATATGAGTGAACCGATGAACAGGTGATTTGTGCTGATGAAGATTTATCAAGTCTTTGGACAACAGAGGAGATATTTTCTGATCGAGGGACATCTGAGCAGCAGCAGGTTCACTCCCCACTGTGGAGTCCAGACACTGGTGGAAGGGGTGGCTGAGTCTGAGGATGATGACTCTGAGGCTGATGACTCTGAGGCTGATGAGTCTGAGGCTGATGAGTCTGAGGCTGATGACTCTGAGGATGATGACTCTGAGGCTGATGAGTCTGAGGCTGATGAGTCTGAGGCTGATGAGTCTGAGGATGATGACTGAGGCTGATGAGTCTGAGGATGATGACTCTGAAACAGATGACTCTGAGGCTGATGAGTCTGAGGATGATGACTGAGGCTGATGAGTCTGAGGATGATGACTCTGAAACAGATGACTCTGAGGCTGATGAGTCTGAGGATGATGACT